AAAAACTTTTTCCTTAACAGTAAATAGCATGTCATGTTCCGCGGTCTCCCTCTCATATATCCCACTTCAGCCAAGTGTTCATCCTCCAGTACAATTGTTGCAAGCTGCAAAAGTCAAGACCACCTCAGAAGCGCCGCAAAAAGCATTTTTGGTTTCGGATGCCATTTTCTGTGAAAAGACTAATTTCGAAGGACCGTATGTAGCTGAACATCGGAAGGGAGATGTTGAAATGACCTTCATCAACCAGGTGAGAATCCAACACTTCTTGACCCAAAAGTGCTACGATACACATGTTAGCAAAACTGCCTATCTGATCATCCATGGATTTTAACTTCTCCAAGATTCAGAAAAGACTTGTCGATTTTATGACTAGCCCTACATATTTGCGCATAGTCGGTTAGCTCATTTCTTGATAAAATATGACTGGAGAGTAGAGAGGAGGAGAAAGGTGATCAGAAAGATTCAAAATCAAATAATACTGGTTTTGTTTACTTTTTCTTGTTGGCACTTTGGCTTCAGTTGTCTTCTTTTTCTTACAATTAGCTCAAAGGAGCTACAGTGAAGAGATGCAGAAAAGTACCAACTGTAATCAGATCCTCTTACAAAGCTTTTACATTTTGAAGTAGTGTTTCCCAGCCTTCGAAGCCCATGAGTATTGACCACTTTTGGCGCATGAAACTAACTATATTTTTAGCTTATTGCGAACGTCTTGGCCATTGTAAACGAATCCGGAAGCACTGATTTTGAGTTCAAAGTGACGCTAGAAAGGGAGGTCAGCCCATTCTTGATCAAAACATACAAGGAAGGATGAGATGATCAAGTTCAAATTTATATTGACTTTTTATCAGGATAATGGCTTACCAAAAGCTACCTTCGAGCTCATACCGAAGGCTCGCCTGAATAATCCGATAGAGCGACTCAATCGAGCATATGTGCAATATGCTAAGGTAACGAACCTAGCATATTGCTAGGTTTTTGCTTTTGTACTGAATTGAATAATCAACTAATCAACTGATAATATGTGCAATTGTGAAAGCAGCGAATATATTGAAGAACTTTGGCTTTTGCGTGACTTCAAAAAAAAATTGGCGTTCGCTCTAGCGAAAACAAAGAACTTCGATGTTTCTTTCCTTCTACATTCAAAAAATATAAAAATTCTATTATGTAAAATGTAGTATTTATACAAATAAAATGCTTCATTGTGCCCATTTATAGTTCCATGAACGAATGGGTGTGGCCAGTGACTGCGAGACTGCAATTTCTCAAGTACAATGATCGGTTTGCTTCTAGAAAGAAGTTCTAAATTTACGATTTTAGGCAAGGTCGGAAACTCCACCACCCGAGCAGCAGGGATCGCGCTTTTCTCTTTTATCCGTTTTCAACTCGGTATTTCCTAGTCTTGTGAGTCATGAAACTCTTTAAAATGATTATTGCATCGTCAAACGATCAATTCAGGGAAATCAAAAGGGAAAATAACGAATTTACGAGACATATAATGAAAATCATTCTCTCATCTGTGACTATTAACTATGCGCAATAAATACGTTGTTCGTTTATGGGTTGGATATACACAGATTACTCTTGGATTAGAGATAAACGGCAGATTTATACTACAGTCCTTCTCAATTCGGATGATGTAGTTCAAAACTGGACTACATACGCGAATCTGCATCGCCATGGTTTTGCGCCATCTCTACCTTTGCTAAGTGTTCCCTACTTAGGTATTTTCTCTATCTTCTCCAGCAGGGCTTTTTCCACGCTCATAGACTCTTAGCGCTGTGATCGAGATTTCATGCAGTTGCTTTGGCCTACTCTCGATTGAGCTGAATGCACACCCCCGATTTTGTAATTTTTGAGCGGATTCGAGTTCGCACAGAGTTGTATGATGTCACGAAGGCTTACACTCGCAGCCCAAACTTTGAGTTTCTGTCAAACAGGGGAAGGATACTTGGATGCCGTGGCCATTCACAATAATTTGTATACCAAAAAATGCGAATTTGAATGCTGGTTCTAAACTGCCTTTCATATCTGCGAAACGATAACCTGAATAGAGTTATGA